AGATCTCGAATGCCGCATAAGTGAAATTAGAAATAAATCGCTGTAAAAGTATCGATTTGAAAGAAATGTAGAAAAGTGCTGGATTGGTTGCTGAGGAAAAAAGAGGAGACATAGCGGACGAAAAAGGATACGCCCGTCCACTGCTCAGCTACGTGCCAGCAAAAAAATACGATTTCGAGCGCATACATGCGCCTTATCGAACGCACAGGTCATTCAGAGAGCTGCTGCAGCTGCTGTGTTTTAAATGCATAGCTCCAGTTGGCCTTCCTGCCGATAATAACATGCGCTGACCAAAGCGGAGCTGCGAACGTTGTGTCAGGACGCCGACCGAGCAAGAATGCTTAGAAAATATCTTCGTGGTGCAAGAAAATAACACACGAGACCGCAAAGAATAACGTTATGACTGCGTGTAGGAAGTGCCACTTGATACTTTCTCGCTCAGCTGCTTGCTCAAGACATTTGCCGAACGATTTTTACGAATTTTTCTTTCTTTTTTTCAAACATGATTTTAGTGTTGCCCAACCTCGCCAACCGCCCCTGCTGAGACACCATCCTACAACAACGGCAAAAAAAAAAACGAAAACAGGAAAAGGAGCAACAGAAGAGCAAGTACGGCATCGCAACAGCAGAACTCACACAAACCTTCAGTTTGACGGAGACGAGCTGAAGGCCTGCCTCATCGGCCATTGAAAACTCCTTGATCTGCTGCTCCGCCCTCGAGAATGTCTGTTCAATTGACACACAAAGACTGTGCAGAATTTCTTCTCGGCAACCATCTCGTAACGGAACCAAGACCGGCTCTGACAGCTCTAAACACTGGCTGGCTAAGCAGTGAAGCTCAGCATGCAGTTCGGCAAGCTGCGCTAGTCGTGATGATCCGACCAATTTCCCTTTAACCAATTCGACAGAATCATGAATCGCTTGCAGCATTCCAACAGCTCTCTTTTTTTCCATAAACTGTTCTTGAAGTCTTTGCCTTTCATACTGGAATTCGTCAGATGCGGAGGCGATAGTACCATGAATTTGTAAATAATTTTCTATTTCTGTGATGGCACGAATCCAAGTTTCCACGTCCACCCAAGCTGTTATCGGTTTCTCAAGCAGCTCCTTCTTTTCGCGCAATAATTTCGCGATTACAGCCTGGAAATTTATAAGTATTTAGTGAAGCAGCAAAAGTTTACGAAATTTTC